CAAAAGTTTATGTCTGTTCCATTAACTTGTGTGAATTTAAAAATGCACTGCCTTGTAATATGAGCGAAAGCTTCTTTTCTAACAGAAAATAACTATATCCTGAGGGAAACTCTGTAAATGAAGATTAAGCAGCAAGAAAGTCTTGAAATTATCATTAGTAATGATTTTTTTTTTCTTTTTTTTAATTAACCAGATGGGCTGTTGCTATCTTTTTTCTCGATTTTCAATTTATTTTCTATTGAATGAAAGCAGTTTGAGAAGGCTGTGGTTATTTCAGGTTACTACTGACAGAAGTTTAATGTTCTCCTTATGACTCCAAATGGGAAGATTTGTGCACTTTAAGACCATCAGACCAATTATGATCTGACAACCAGAGCATACAAATTTTCTATTTTGCACAGTTTTAAAAAGCACCATTAAAATGTTGTGTGCTTGGATTCTGTGAGATCATTTCATTCTAGATGAGGAAAGCAACAGTTTTGTCTTGAAAACTTAGCAATAATGGGCAGATTTCAAGAACAATTTGGGCCTATAAAACTCTTATTTGATTAGGGATCGTTAGAATTTAGTATCTGAGTAATGAGGTTTCCCACCCCCTGCTTTTTAATAACTACATCTGATTTAACACCTCTAAAAATTCTTCAGACATCTGAATAGCTCTGTTTTACCTCATACTCATAAAACTTTGTATGATAGGTAACTGACAGCCAATACAATTGTGATTGAGTTCTGTACTTACAAATCATATAAAACTAAGAAATGGTGGAGTTATGCAATGGACCTCATTTCTCAAAGAAAATGGACAAAGTCATGTGTCTTTAAAATCAAGGCCAAAAATTTTAAAGGAAACAAACTAAATTTGCATATGCTTGTTTTTAAAAAATCCTAAAACTTTTTGGATTCCTATGAAATCAAACCAATACATTGGCATTCTCAACCACAAGAGGGCATCCATGCTTGCAACCTGATTCTTGAAGATCATATATAAACAGATATCTATCCATCTATCTAGAGACATAGATATGGATATAGATACAGATATATTTCTTTCTGTTAGGTCCCAGCTGCAGTGTAGAACACATTTGCTGTGGGACGTTTCCTCTTTCAGAGTCCCATGGTATTTCCCAGTGTTGGTAGGGGATAGCACATGAAGTCTAATTTTGCTGTCCGTAAAGCTCTCATGGAATCCAACTTTCTCACTCCTGCAAAAGTTATGTTAAACCTCCCATGGTTTTCACTGAGGCCTGACCCAACTCATCTGGAATTCAGAGGGGAACAAACTGATCTCAGAGAAGAGGAACACACAGCTTCCCAAGGATAAGTGTGCAAGGTCAAGTCTAGATTTTCTGAAGTCATTTATTGCCCCAGAGAGAGGATTTGGGATCACTAAAACCTGCTCAGCATCAATCTGAAGTCATGACTGTCAGAGGTCTTACTCTCCCCGTAATTTGTTCCACAGGCACTTCACTGTTGTGATGAGGGGAGGGTGCTGTTTGTTTTGGTTTTGAACAGGAATACATTTTCCTCTCTGATGCACATAAAACTCTCATTGGAGCCTGAAACAACCATAAAAAGGAACTTTGAAAGCAAATCTGGCCTAGTGGTTGTAAATTATATGCTTAGCTGAAAAAGATCTCACAAACACTGGAGTGTATATGGTAATACTGGAAGTAAAACTCATCTTCCACAACAATAATGTATAACTTCAGCACCAGAACATACACGTTAGCACCAAAAGGTATCAATTGCTACCCATCATCTTAGATATTTAAATGAGGCAAAAAATCACAAGCAGATATTATAAACAGCTGCACTCAATAATTAATGATATCAATTACTTCATTTTTACTCTTACGCCTCTCACAGTATTTTGACCAAAAATATTTTTAGCCTTATTTTAGTGTGTATATATTTTCATAATTTTATATTTAGAACAGAACAAAAGTCTGAGCTAATTTCTCTGTCTTTAAAGGCACACAACTCTGCTCAGAAGGAATTAGTACAAATCTTCAAGGCTAGCAGAATAGCAGCTGGGGGTAGTTTGCTTCAGCATAACCTTGAACTCATCAGCAATTTTCGTCAGCATGTATCAGAGCAGATATACTGCCAAAGACATCTGAAGTCTTCCACACATTTCAGTACTTTTGTTCTAGCAGAACTTGGCGTCAGGTAATCAATCAGGCAGCACTGACACTGGCAATCAAAGTAGAGCTTTACTGGCATTGTCATTACCCAACCCAAGAGAAAAAAGATGATAGAAATTGAGGCAATTCAAATAGGTAATACAGAAAGGCCTGCAGTAAACTACTTATTAAATAAAGTGGAAGAGCAAATTTCGTGTGGTAACCAAATATCTGATGAGCTGTAATCCTCTCTGTTCAATGAAAAATATTCAGCTAATGCTTGAGTGCTTGTGGCTGGTTTTATCAGGAGCTGCTTGTATGAAATAGCTTATACCCAGATCATTTTTTGCTGCTGTCAAATACAGTGTGATTACAATAGTTAATCCCTAGCACCATTATGGGATGTTGTGAAAAAACCTGCATACGTGTTTGTTAAAAGCAAAGTTTTCTATACCCACAGAAAACAAAATATTCCACAAAATCAAGGTATTTGTAGCAACTTAAAAAGTAACAGATACAATAACATATATACCCGTTATAATAATTTCAGCTGAATTACAGAATTATAAATTAATTTACAATGTCTAGTCCTGTTTGGAAAGTGTACCATACAACATACAAGTTGCAAGTTCCAAAGTGCATAGTCATTTATTGTTAAACCTACTGTTGTAGGCTCCACGGCTTAACCTGAACTTTTGCTTATGCTCTGCTTCCTATCTCTTGTATTAAAAAAAAATAAAAAAATACTGAAAATGGCTAGATGCACTGTTTTAACTGTGCTGTCTTTACCTCTAGAGAAGATTTCTTATGCAGAACAAAAATATATTTGTCCCATGCATCTTTGTCAAAAACTGGGCTGGCTGAGGGCTAGTGACCCACCTAGTAGTTTTGTCTCACTGAATTCTTTCAATGTGTACATAGATGATGCAAAAAGGTTGTGCTTCACTCCCAAAACAGGACTGGATTTTACTCAGCCAAAGTGTTTGACTGATTGAGCACTGTCCAAGTCCAAGCCCCTTTGAAACCGAAAGGAAAACCATTTATATTGTAGCTGTTAGAATAAAAGTTAGTAGAATATTACAAGTGTTGTTCTTTTAAAACATGGACACATTTTAAGACAAAATACTTGTCTAGTTATTGTCCTGTCAGATACAGAAGTGTCACTAACCAGCAATGTCTGAAGAGCCACAGATCAGTTGCTGACGTTCTCTGGGGGATCAGATTATGGACAGATGGAGAGGGGCTGTTAGGTGTCATACACTGTAGAGCCCATTCCCCCCACACAGCCATCTTGCTGGAGAAAACGAATAACTGACATGAAGAATTCAAACTCTGATCTTTCTTTTTATATCACCCCTGTGACACTTCATATTCTGGTGACAGACTGTCTCCATCACCCTCGAAAGGACTGAATTAGTGACTTAAAGACACATACATATGTAGCACTAGTGAAATTATCCTCTGTTGTTCTGCTTGCTCTACTCAGTATTGCTTTTCAAAGTTCATAAATTTCAGAGGTCTAAATGTAGCAGTGCAAGCAGACTATATAAAGCCAAAACTCCAGGCTATTTCAATGACATAGTAGTTGTGGCAGACATTCGATTTCCTCCTTTTTATAATCTGTTTTTCAAGAAAACTACTTGTATAATAATCTAGCTTAAAGTGTAGGTCCTCTTTATAAATGTTCTAGCAAGCACCAAAAAGGCGTTCAGTTTTTGGGCGCAGGAAAGGTATGAATAAACAGATTTGTTTTTTATTAATTCATACAGATATTTTCAGGAACTATCACAATATATTTTAAAGGACACTGCCAATTGCTTTAGAAATTTGAAATTTTTGTCGGAAATCTGTATGAAGTTTTAAAGTTGCCTGATGTCTTTTATTTGGAAATCCTCTTATCTACCTTATGTCTGATCTCTCCTTGAAAGTTTCACCTGGCTAAGTTTCAGTCAGGGGGATAGCACATACACTGGCAAAGTTACAGTGTAAAAGACAGTATGGATGTCATGTATTGATATATGTTGCTTTGTAGCAATATATTTATCTTCCCGTACAAGAATAAATATACTGCTGCAAAGCACCATTATACCATTATGACTGTTCAGAAACACAGGAAGGTAGAGTTAGGCTGTGTTATTATACCAGTATATTTAAGGTGATGTAGCTTTCTATCTAGTTAAGACTTTAGGCATGTGAGCTAACAGCCACTGCATCTTGGCCAGTGTGGTTCCTCATTCTCTCTAATTTTCCTGTCTGCGCACAGGCTTCGTTGATGATAGCAGCAGCCATGTGCTGAACTCCTGGAACGCCATAAACGATTTGGTGTTGTGCATGAGGTAGGTAATATCCTGCAGTTTCTCTTGCACATATGTTTTCCTCTGCTCAGAGTCCCATTGACATTGCAGGTGAAAGCACAGGTGTAAATGGGAGGAACCATTGGGAGCGTGAGGACAATTTGTTGCTTTGCACGTCACACTCCATTTTTAAAGCACAGTATTAAACAATGACGCTTCTCTTTCTGGAGCTATTATTTTTAAAAGGAAGTCATATTCTATCTTTTAATGTGCTTTTAATAGAACCTAATCTTCAGGAAGCTACACTTGCTAAGGTGAAAATTAGTTTGCTCTCCTTTAACAAAATGTTAATCTAAAAGGGTTAATGTGAGTCTTAAATCCCAAAGTGTTAAAACCAAATTATACTATACTTTGAAAGCTAATTATACAAAAGCATACAAAAAGAAAACATCAGAGTATTATTACAATATCTCTCTATATATAATATGTGCAAAATTCAATATACAAGCTTCTTGTAACTCATCCATGTTTTTTTTTAAAAAATAATGTAAACCTTA